GTTAAGCGCTCCCATTTGTTTCTTTCTAATTCATAAGGGACACAGCAGTGGCTGGTAAAAGTTATAAGTTAAGGGTTGTTCTCCCCCCCCTCCGTCTCACTTAAGGGACCTGCACCCTCCTCCTGCTGCCTGGCAAACGGAGGTTACCTGCATTGCAAGGGTAGGAAAATTTATGTTGTCATTTGTAAAATACTAAAAAGGCAACTCACTGTAAACTTACTATAGCAAACAAGCATCAGGGAAGTCTGAACGGTACCTAAACCCTTCAAAGCATCCATGATAACTGATGTTCAGGGTCACCTTGACCAAGGAAGGTCTCGTTTAAGAATGGATGTGCTAGCGTTCACCAATACACGTACAGTAATTCAGACAGCATCCAGCTCAAAGAGCTCATCAGAACAGATACAGAGGAGCAGCTTTGACTGAAGCAAAATGCTGCACAGCAAGGAGTGAAATAATTGGAAAAACAGCTGCGTAATTTCTACTTATTTTTGGCAACCTTGTTTCTATGATATCTGTTAGATGAGGGGGAAAAAGCTGCTGAACGCTGCTTAGTAAATAATACATGAACCACAGCCACATCTATGGACTATCAGAGTGGCACTTAGTAGAGTCCTATGGAAAGTTATTTTTCTTTAGATCAATCCATAGAAAGGTCTAAAGCAATGTTACCATATGGGTTTTGTTCCTGTTAATCGAGAGCTGGTGAACAACATTGGCTGAAGTAAGTGAATTGAAGTGGCGTTTTGGGCTTGGTAGTGTTTTAAGAAGTGTCTTCACCCCACCTCTTCAGCCTTGGGACAAGAGACTTATTAGCTAATTACTATGCAAACGAACCGAGATGTAAATTAAACGTTACATCCTAACATAGCTTAATAGCCCCAGGAGCAAGAATTTAGTTAACTTTAATGGACTGTAATTCTATCCAAAAATATAGTTTATTAACAAGCACATACAATAAATTGCACCACTGACTTTAAATAAAACATCTAGCAAGCTCACCTTCACAGTAAGTGACACTTGGTTAATACAGAGCAAAAAAGCAATACACATATGCTTTCAACAGACACAGAACAAACTCGGTTGCCATCCAAGTTCAAGTTGTAATCCAAAGGAGGGCACATAAAAGCAAAAGCAATGAAGACTTCACATGAACCTTGCCGTTTCTTTCCACCAGACCTTTGGTCTCTTACAAAATAGGTCCGTAATACAAAAAGTAATAAAAACTCTAGATTCAATTTACTCAGCCTCTTCCATCATCACAAGTTAACTATAACATTTTGCAACAATGTGAGTAGTATTAAGAGGAAGGTAAGAGGCAAAGATGGTTAAGTCTTGGAATTACTTAAGTTCAGCTGCAGATCGGCTGCCTCGCAGCAGGCATGGACTCCAGTGACATTGTCCCAGTTTTTGCAAGAAATACAAAGATGGTAAAACACATTCTTTCTCATAAATTAAAACTTGATCCATCCTTCACTGACACCAAGGCAAAAGTTCTTCTGTTATCAGTGGTACTCTGATGGGGACGCAGTGGCCTTCAAAAAAAAAAAAAAATCCACAAAAAAAAGTCCTCTCTAGTGAAGGGTTTGTCACTCTCCAGTCTTCAACTTGGCTCTGATGTCAGTAAAACCTGACACGGGTGTTACAACAGTCTCATCCTCCTTTCATGCCAGACAAAGGGATTCAATAGAATTCAATATATAAGAATTGAAGCCAACTTGGCAATAAGCAGCTCCACTCTGCTTAGGGTAAGATCTTAACCTCACCGCAAAGAAGTAAATAGAAGGTTTGTAATGAACTTCAGTAAGACCCCAAAAGAAACAGGCCAAAACAGAAAAAATACGCACTTCTTGGTGTTAGACCTTGTTCTTCGCAATGGAAAGGACATTTGTATTTCTGATCCTCCGGAGGAATAATGGGAAGGTTCCCAAGAACAGTGCTCCAAATGCAACAGCGTCCAGTGTCCACGGTAAAACCGCACAAGAAGTATTTTTCAACAAAACCAGAGATCCCTCCATTTTCTTTGTGGTAGAACAAGCCCCCCGTATCTCTATAAGCAGTAGGGTCCCAATTTTATTAACATCGTGCCTGTTATCACAACCTAAACAAAAATTATGCCTGGGCTCCCTAATCACATTTTCTTTACTCAGAAAAAAAAATTTATAGCAATATCAATGGGTTAAAGACTTATTTTCTCTCATTTCTCTCCTGCAACTTTCTCTTTATAATGCCTAGAAAAAAACCCCAGAAATTTCTCCTGCCTCCACCCTAAGTGAAGAGTTAAGATCTACTTTTATGACAAAACAAAAAAAACTTTAAAAATGGTCATTTTTTTTTCCAACTGCTGGAAACAGATTTTTTTGCAGTACAAGGAAAAATTTATCTCAATGTGCACTAACCTGACAAACAAGAGCAAGCAAAAGTTACCTAGAAATGAACACATTAAAGAGCAGTCCAAGTATTGTGACACCTTGTATTGAAAAACAAGTGATGCACAGTTCAGTCAGCAACAACTCCCTCTCCCCTCTGCAACTTGCATAGCTGGCTTTCCTGTTAGCTGGTTATGAAATACTCTTACAGTAGAACAACTTTAGAAAAATTTGGACAAGTGAGAATGGAGTTATTTTAATCTAGAACAATATCACCCAAAGATACAGCTGAATACAAACACTGTTCGTATCAAAAAACATCAGAGAAACATGAATTTAAGCTGCATTTTCAGTCTATATATTGGCTTCCCTCTTTCTTGTTTTATAAAAATAGGGTATGACATTTCAGTTTCAATTGCGTGTTTAAGTCATTTATTCATTGAACATTCCATTCTTGAAATATCATCTATTAAAGCGTTAGTTAAGATTCATCCTGCTTATAGAACGGACTAAATTTCTTCTGAACTGCACTTGTAGACAATAAAGAGCCTGATATAAACTCAATAAAAAATAATTAGATTATGGGAAGAAGAAAATAAAAAATAATTAAAAAAAAAATAATCAAGCTCCACTCTTACTATCTGACTCCTAATAAAACAAATGCCAATGCCTTTTAGCTGATCAAAAGATATAACTCCAAAATAACATTTACATACTGAATTCAGAAATAAACTGTGTTTTAAAGTCTGTAAGTTGCTATAAAAAGAGGACAAATAAACTTCCAGTAAAACATCTCCTTCAAAAAGAGCGAAAGCCACAGTAAAAATACTGAAAATTCCTGATCAGGGTATTGTATCAAAAATTGGTATCTCTAACCCTACCATAGTTCTCTTACCCATTTAAAAAAATGGATTCTGTACTACACTTGCACATTTCTGACACAGGCATGATTGTACACGGGCAGTTTACATCTCAACTGCGTAGTACTGAAGGAAAAGAAAAAAGCTGAAGATTCATTTTGCTGCTTCAGCGGTAAACCCTGCTGGGTGGGAAGGCCTGTTGGGGATACCAACATTGAAACGAATTAGTGAAATGACAGTCTGAAATCCAATAGTACAAAGTCTGCTTGGACATGGCTCTTTCCCCTACTGCAAAGCAGATTTAATAAATGGGATTTATTTTAGAAAGTTTCACAATTCTTAAACAGTAGATGATACTTGCATTCCTGAAGGATTAAGTTCTACATTTCTTAATGCTAATTCAACTCTCTAAAACCAACTCAATAAAACCAGCAAAGCTTTTACAAGTAACATGCACAACCTAAAAATTCCACCCTCAAAAACTGCCTTTTTGGTACTCTTTTAAGCTCTTAAGATACTCTATTTATTGAAGAGATGCCAGGAATCCTGCAGCGGGAACAAATGTTTCTTTGGCAAAAGGAAAACATTTTAATGCCTCCTCCCTTCAAAGTATGCACACCTCACCACAACATATGCTAATACACTACCAAATAAGTCTCTTTATCTTGCCATTTTTATAACAAACTGTTTCATTCATATCTATTTCGGCTTGTAACTACCTACTGCACAGAGTAGCACACTGTGCTAAATCAACAAGTAGTTTATACCTAGGAAATAGAAAGTAAAAAAAAAAAAGAACACATTCTATTAAAAAAAACATATATTCCAAAACAAGTCAAGAGGGGCTAATTTTATTTAAACTGTTTCAGTGTAAAATTAAAATGAAGTCATGCAGGCATTTTGGGCCTTTTGTCCACCCTTTGTCCTTTATTTAAAGTGAACAAGATCTAACAAAAAAGGATTCCCACAAATATGATAGTGAGTGGCAATTTGTGCTAAAACTTCCATTAATATACAAAAACAAATGTTACAGCCCTTCTGTGAAGATATCCATGTATGCATGTATACCTATGCATGGAGATACACATATTTCCCCCCAGATTTCCAGCCTTCTTCAAGGTTAACGCACTCCACTGACACACTTTCACAAATCAGCCAAATGCTGAATCTAGAAAAAGATGAAGACCAACTCTTTGCAGATCTACAGTCTGCAACTGTAAAAATATAATAAATATTTACTATCGTATTACTAGGTTTTTTTCAAATGAAATTGATTCTTAAAAAGTCATCTTCTTCCTGAAGAACTCAAAGAAGCAAAAGAGGAAGTGTCTTTAAAAATAAAAAACTTGAGCAATGAAAATAAAGAAAACACACCCTCAAACGTGCTGGAGCAAGACCACTTAGCGCAGGCATCAGTACCATCCTTCTTTACTGAAACAGGATCTTTAGTCTCCAGACATATTCTAATTACTCCCATTAAATCAGTGTGGCTCTAATGATACCAGAAAGAAAGATCTACTTTTAATACGTGGGTTTAAATACCACAGTTAAGTGTCAAAGACTTGGTAAACAAGTGTGATAACTCTGCTGGGGAAAATATTAAGATGAGAGAGAGAAAATAAAGCTAAATTCTATGGAAAAGTCACTGGGATCCATCAAAGGTTTCTGGAGGCTTAGATCTATACACCTGAATCCAGCTGTAGGGGTGAAGAGGATGAGGGGAATAAGTGAAAACTCTTTTGTCGTAACTGAATCTTTTTTTTCCCCCCCCCCCCCGTTAGAGGAACGAAAACTGCGTTGAATAATGCAGTGGGTCAACATGAAGACAGCCACATCTGAAAAATACTGGAAAACCCAAAAGTCAGAGATTGTGAATTTGTTTGGTTTGTATGCCGTCTTGGAGGAGAGAGAAGTTAATACTTCTAAAGGCTTGGTATTTACACTTCTGAAAAGTTTGTGCAGTTCATCCAAATTTGATAGGGCAGGATTTAAGTGCCTCTTAGTGTTCCCGACTGGGCACTTCTGCTGCTTTGGCACACGCGCACACATACAGTATTCCAGTACCAATGGGATACGACGTCTAATGCAGCTTTAAACTGGCAGCACTCCTGAGTAGTTTTAAATGTTTATCAACTCAGTAGGTCAAAAGTCTGTAGACACTGGGTGGAGCAGCAGTATGCCACAAAACTAACAGTTGTCCTCCTAGAAAAAAAAAAAAAAAAGGGGGGAGGGGGGAAACAGTTGTCAGTAAAGATTAAAGCTCCTGACCCCATTCAACAGCAGACAGTATGCTGGTTTGGAAAATACAGGATTAGCTGATCTTGACACCTCAGAAAAAGAAGGTTCAATTGCTCTGTATGAGTGCCCCATACAAAGGCAGGGAAACACCGCAGGGGTTCTCAAAGACCTTCCTGGTTTCTTATGTATTCAGTTTTAGGCAGCAGCGTGTGGTTTTTCTTTCTGTGGAGGGTGTGGCTGGGTGTTATAGCCAGTAGGTTTAACAGCTAAAAGAAAAATAGCTGGGTGATTCTTTGCTTCAGCTTTGCTCATGTGTTTCTTAAATTACTGCTTGTAGGCATGAAATAACTTCAGTCCAGTGTCCTCCTTGGGTTCAG